TTTTTTTTACTTTGTCAAATAATCATTTACTAAAGATTCGAGAATTTTTATGAAGATAACAATTCACAAAAACTAAATAACTGAACTGTCAATGCAAATAACGTCAAACGCATATTTGTTATTCAAAATCTGCGATATTGACAATTTCAATTCCCGATGATTAACACATATAACATTATTTTTAAACGGATTTTACACAAAAATGGAACATTCTACCAATATGAACCAAGAGTACCTTTTTTTAATAAAAAAATATGAAATTTCATACTTTTCAAAAGTTAAAAAAAGTCAAGGCACAAAAAAGTTATGGTAAATTTAGGAAGAATTTTTGGACCCTCGTTTATATAAAGAAAAAGTAATCTTTTTCGACACAGAACACCCTGTAGAAATATTATATGTATATTTCATTTTTGCAATATTTCATTCTAAAAATTTTTTTTCTGTTCATTCATTAATCATTAGTAATATTTTTGGTTTTCCATTTAAAAATTAAAGTAGCAAAAAAAAATACACTACAACTGCAGGCTAATTATATTTGAAATCGCATTATATTCCAAAGAGACACACCTGCTAGAGCTGTCAAGTGCGAGTCAGCCGATACATGTAGCGCGCGCGCTCTACTACTCCCCAAATACGTTTCACCGCCGGAGATATACACTTCCCCTCTATTGCTTAGTAATTGTCCAAAACATGACATAAATTTATTTAATTTTAATAAGCAATAGCATGAAATCGATGTAAAATTTCCCTGGGAACACGATGGTGCAATTATTTTTTTGCTACTTGCCGTAGTTTACGAGATATTTGCGAAAAAGCTTATTTTTACGGTTTTTTGACCTTTTGACCCCTTTCCTGACCACCTAGGTCAAAAATTTTCGGATTCGGATTCCTGAGGGTCGAAAACATATTTGCGCCCAGGTTTGATCGACAGAGGAAAAAATGGAGGTTCAGCCTTCATTTCAATGGACTAAACAATGCGACGTGCGTACTTGACGAATCTTGCCATCCATTTTAATTTAGTCCGATAAATTATTACAACCTGACCGTCACATCTTACGAAACAATTGATGGTGGGTGCCCGCCCTGAGAGCAAACTGTTGAATACATATTAGTCAACTTGATTTACACGGTGATATTAGTCACTGTGGAGGTGTAAAGGAGTGTTCTGCTCGTTATATGGAATTGATTTTGTTATAATCGTTGAACTATTGGAGTGGAATTTTCCAGCATACCCCATTATCGTCGGTTTGAAAATGATTAAGACACTCTTTGAATGTATAAAGCTAATTATCTAGACAATGACATAACTTTCGGTAGATTATTGATAGAGCGCTAACGCCAACCGTTCGACAAGGTTGTTTACTCCCTGTTCCAAGAAAGGAATTGGAATTTCCAAGAAAATACACGTAGGTTAAAGGCCAACTTATTCTAATAAATTTAGTAGGTTATCGAGGTAACAAGTAATATAATGCTTATTAATTTTTACAGTCGAAAGGTCCCCTAAATATTATTTTTTTTCTGGAAAATCAAACTAGATATTCTTTTTTTATTTTGACAGAGTTTGGGATTAAATTCATTATTTGTTTTCGTACTACGGTTTCTGGTCGAGACTTCTCGAAGCGAGAATTCCCGGGAAATCTGGCCTTACTCGAGACAAGAAAAAAGTATCGAGAAATCGAAAAATTTAAAAATCACGCGCGTCTTAACTTCTTGACTGGAGTTCGTTTCGTTCATGCGTTCAATTCGTTTCTCGACAAATAACTGAGCGGTTAAAGTGGTTTCTCTAACAGCTCATGATTTATTTATTTTAAGTTTTTAAGGCTTTAGTTTACTTTGATGATTCTTATTTTTTTAATTTAATTTTAACAGGGTGATTCACTATATTTTGACCCCCCTTTAACTTCTTTGTTTTAAGAGTTATAAAAAAATGTGAAGTACAAAAGTTGCACGATTTTTTATGAAGTTTTCGAAATGATAGTAGAAAAACAAATGAAGTTGTTTATATTATTAGGAATTAAAATAAACTATGGAGAATATCTTAACTACTCTATCTTAATTCCTATAATATTTAAATTTTCTACTTCTGTGTAACCCATTTTAAATAAATAATAATACAAACTGTCAAACAATAACAATGTTGTCATAATATTACCTGTCACTGTCACGGCCTACCATATAACATTGTCCATGAGTAAATAAGCCCCTCACGGACTAATTAGTGCGATTTAGTTAAAATACTTATACCCATTTTGGACTATATCAATGTTCGATATGTCAAAATATATTGCAAATAAATCTAAATCCTTACGTAATCAGAAATGCCCGAAAAACGTCCAACAATTACAAAATATTTTATTTTCTTAATAAAAAACGTTCTTTTCGTTTTTTAATATTACCTCGCTTATTGTTAGAGATAGACCCAACAAACTATATATGACTGTGCTCGACAGGGAACGTTCTATCCAAATGTGTAAAAATATACAGGGTGTTCCATTTAAATTAACAAAGTTAACATCCGATTTGAACTTCATATTCGAAAATTTCATAAAAAATCGTGCAACTTTTGTATTTCACATTTTTTTATAACCCTTAAAACAAAAAAGTTAAAGGTTGGGTCAAAATATAGTGAATCACCCTGTACCTAGTTATAAGTCTGTGTAGAAATTTCTGTTCCTGTTCCTTTAGTTGATTATTTTATTTTTGTTTTGTTAATTAAAAGATTGTGATTATAAGTGATAAATTAATACGAAGAACGCTTCTGTATCTTTAAATTAAAGTTTGTTTTTTTCTTCGGTTAAATTCCTTATTTACTATTTATTTAATTAAAAGACTGTATGATTAATGATTATTAATAATTATTATTGGAAGAAAACTACGATTCAAAAACATTCAAATAAACATAAGTATATTGAAAGTGTTTAATAAAAAAACAAGTTAAAGGTTTTTAAAAAGAAACTCAAAGTTTAATTTAATTTTGTTAGTAGAAGTAGAAACATAAGTAATTAATAAAAATACTGAATAAATAATAAATGTTAATGATGATTGTTAAGTACAATAACATGTTTATATTGCATTGCAATACCAAAATTATCACTTCTTTAAGATTTAGAAATTTCTCAAGAATTCGAGAATTCCCGGGAATTCCTAATCGAGAATTCTCGAGACCCGAGAAAAAAGTAGGCCGAGAAATCAGAAACCCTATTTCGTATACGTATAAAAACGTTTTTAAGTCATTAAGTTCAAATAATATTTGCATATTTTAAGATTAATGATATTTTTATGTAATATTTAAAAGCTGATTGTTGGTTATATTGGGTTTTTTATTACCCATTAGTGAATAAAACTGGTTGATTATAACTAATTCAAATAATAGAACATAAATCTATAATTACAGATATTTGAATTTAAATAGGTATAGCATCGGAAAAGTATTAGATTGTAAGATATCTTTAAAAAACATTTTTTTCTGTTCTGTAGTAAATATAAAAAACTTACGGCTATTTTAAAACTAAAAGGAAGAAATCATATTCCAAAAAAGTCCAAAACTTTTTCACAAGAAGAAATACTTTTAATTTTTACTAAATGCACCGGAGAAAATCTACTTGATGATGAAGGTAATTTATGCTAACATTTCAAAAGTAATTTGATATAAATGTAGTAATTATTTTAGATTTGTGTTGTGTTTGGCATTGCTGGGGCTTTACGCAATGAAGAACTTTTGAACTTAAAAGTAAGTGACATAGAGCACAAAGAAACAATTCTGGTTGTTCATGTGACTAAAACAAAGACCAACAGGCCTCGAATATCTGTGATCACTTCAGAGTTTGAAGGAAAAGTAAAATCTGTAGAATATTTTAACAATTTTAACTCTACGTCCTAAACATACGCCCCACGACCGATTTCTCCTAACTTATAGCAGTGGTAAATGTCCTCATTCCAGCCAGTTGGAATCCATACTTTTGGAAGAGTACCAAGCAAAATTGTGAACTATATGCATTTGCCAGAATCTTGACTTTATATCTAGAGGACATTGTTTTCGTCGCATGTCCGCCATTCTCTTTGCAAACGCAGATAGCAGTAAGGAAATTTAAAACGTCATAGAAGGTGGAAAAGCGACACGATTGCAGAATCTTGTGTTGAGAAATCTGTGCTCAATAAAACGAAAATCGTGGACGGTTTTAGGTGAAGATCAAACTGAGAACAAAATTATTATCAATGATAATTCACGTTTAATACCTATTAACACAAAATAAGTAGATTTGTTACGTATTTGCTGTTATTTTTCTGTTTACTTTGTCATAATAAAATGTGATGAGTTATAATATCTATTTTTTTTTAATTATAAATTTTTACGGCTGGTGATAAAGTTTTGTATGCACCACGTCAGTAAAGTGTCTTTATCGAACTCACCTGTTGCTCACTCAGAATCACTTTACTGACTTGGTATATAAATAACTATTATCCAGTATTCATTATAGAAATTAGGCAAAATAAAATTAATTATGAATTATACGTTACAGGTAGTTCACATTCGTCTTCATCAGCTTCATGTAAGTATATTCTTTTGGTTTTTGATATATGTGTTGATACGATTTAGGATTTTTAATTAGAAATGTTACCCGATTTTTTCTGAGCACCCTTTTTTTAGTTTATTTTGTTTAATGTTTTAGTTTTACAGAATAGATTTTTTTTCTTTTCATTGTTCGCTCACGAAAAATTAAAAAGATTTTTTTCATTTTGCTGATTTCAATAAAATGTATTTACCATTTGTTAATTTATGGTTGAAGCTACTAATCTGAGATTTGAGCCATCCTGACTCAAATATAAAAATATTCTTAAAAAATTATATTTTTGTTCTCATACAGATTTATTCCTGCGAAGTATGTCTTAAAAATACTTTAATAAATGCTTTTCACGTGTTCAACTTTGCACAATTTTTCACTTTCTTTCAACAAAATCTTTGCAAATTTCCGATAGCGCATTGAATGTATGGTATATGTACATTATTAAACACTAGACACTAGAAACAATTCTTTAATAAAGGCGACCACCATTTTGACAATACAAACATATGTTGAACAATTTCTGATTCTCAATGTAATAACAAATATTGCTTCTACAGGGTGTCCCGAAATTCATGCAACAAAATTTGGTCATAGGTTCTTAAGACAAATTCAGGGGACCCGTATTTTTTCTTTTTGCCAACTGGCCCCCTCTTTCGGAGTTACAACCCCCTGAAATCTGCCCCTAGAAGTCTTTTTTATATCTCAAAACCATGTTATACGAAAATCACTAAATTTGGTACACAAGGGTTTTATGGTCGCTAATTTGATTTTTTTTTTAAATTATTAGTTAGCTAGAAAGCCATTGAATTTAGAAACTTTTTTGTCTCTTGATATTTGTTTGCATTCGATCACATTTTGACATTTTTCTCGAAAACATTGCGTTTTACGAAAAAAGTATAAAGAGACAAAAAGTTTCTAAATTTAATGGCTTTCTAGTGGACTGATAATTTTTAAGAAATTTAAATATACGATCAATACGATCAAATTTTTTTGACTCCAAAGACAAGGGGGCCTACGAAAAATTGTCTTAAGGGGATTCCCCCCAAAAACGAAGCACCATCAGATTCCACATGTCTTAAAACTTATGTGTACCAAATTCAGTGATTCTAGTACACAGGGTTCCGAGATATAAAAAAAATTATTCTCAAGGGTGGACTTCAGGGGACTGTAACTTTTTGCCACTTGGCCAAAATAAAAAATACGGGTCCCCTAAATTTGTCTGTGACCAAATTTTGTCACATGAATTTCGGGACACCCTGTATATAAGAAATATTTACGAAGTATTAATTTTTATGAGCAGAGCAAATTGTAATAATTAACATAATGGCATGTTACAGCGTACAGCAGCTCCAGTCATAATTCTTTTTCGAGCACCGGTGACTTGGGTGACATTGTAAAGACCGGACCCTATGTAGGCAGTTCATCGTTCTCTTCTGCTAGCGCCAGCGCCAAGGCCGAGGCCAATGCTGGGTCATTTTCCGGTTCTAAAGCGGGAGCTAGTGCTAGCGCCGGTGCTTTTGCAGGAGCAGGAGCTCATGCTGGGTCAGGAGCAGGAGCTCATGCTGGGTCAGGAGCAGGAGCTCACTCAGGATCGGGAGCTTTCGCGGGATCAGGGGCCCTAGCAGGGTCTGGAACTGGGGCTTATTCAGGATCAGGAGGTGCAGGATGTGGAACTTTAGGCGGAACAGGATGCGGGGGAGCAGGAGGAGCAGGATCGGGAGCTGGAGGTGGCTCTGGAGCGGCATCAAAGGCTAATGCAGGCGCTGGTACCGGTGGCGGTATTGGGGTAGCACTAGGAGGACCCAGTCATGGAGTTGGTGCAAGTGGCGAACTCTCAGGTAAAGAAAATTATTTGTTGCTTATATTCTACCTTATATATTGTATTGTATATGTTCTTTGTCTCTCTTTGTGTTTCTAGTATTGTAAATTAGTATACCGTTTATTATTAAAGCAAATTTCTAATTCCAGGATCTACCGATGGAAGGTATGACGCTTTTGGAGGTTCTGCAGGTCCTCAATTGGACGGTAGCAGCAACACGATATCGGGAATCGGTTCTTATAAACCTGGAGGTATCTCAGGTGGACCCAGTGGAAGTTCCCTCACTCAAAGTGGAAGTAATTCAAGCCCTGGTAGTGGAAACTATGGAGGATTCGCTTACACGCCATCAAGTGGAGGATATCCGGGAAGCAGCACTAACGCAGTATCCGGTGGCAAAGGACCTTGTTGTAAAGGACCTTTTCCTGGTCCAAAGGGCAGTATTTACGATTCCAAACCAGCCCCAGCCGGAGGTGGCGGACCTGACCCAGCTTGGTTAACGGGACCAGGAGCCACAGGGAGTCCAATCGGCATCCCCGAACCTGGCGTTACTGTATCGTCTAGTTTAATTCACAAACTGCCAGGTTCCAAAGGTACTATTTACGACAGCAAACCTTCTTCAAATACCGGTTCTTTTGTTCCCGGAAGTCCATCAGGGGGTTCTTACGTATCTCCGGGACATGGAGTTACACCAAGTGGAGTCGCAAATGTTATCGGCACCCTACCTGGACCTTCTGGAAGTATATTCAGCAGTAAACCAGCTACTGGCGCAGTTTCATTACCTGGAACTATAGGTTCATCAGGAGTTAAAGCTCCTGGTGTAATAGGAGCCCTTCCAGGATCATCTGGTAGTATATACGACAGTAAGCCAGTCACCGGCACTACTCCTGCATCTGGAATTCTTATTCATGGAACTTCAGCCCCTTCATTAGAACCTGTTGGAGTTCCTAGCGTGATCGGTACGCTTCCAGGGCCATCCGGCAGTATATACTCGAGTAAACCTTCAGCGGGAACGGGTACTACACCTTCTGGCGGAACCTACACGGTAGGAGGATCGTACGACTATACTCAATCAGGAGCTTCTAGTTCACAAAGTACTTCTGGTATATCAGGATCATTCGTAGGAACTTTACCCGGTCCAAGTGGAAGTATATACGACAGCAAACCGGCCGGCGGTACCTCAGGTGCCCCTAGCAGCCATCCTATAGTTGGACCTGTTTGTAGTTACACACCTGGTGCGAGACATAAGCCTTCATGTATACCTGGATCTTCATCAACTGGATCTACTGGCAGCGGTTATCATCCTGGTGGTTCTGGAATCCCTGTTAATGTAGGACCTGGTGGATCTCCTATTGGCTCTGGAACTGGTTATCAACCTGGTGGTTCTGGAATTCCAGTTACTGTGGGTCCTGGGCCTTTACCAGGTGGATCTTCTGTCGGCTCTGGAACTAGTTATCGACCTGGTGGTTCTGGAATTCCAGTTAGCGTAGGCACAGGACCTGGAACTGGTTATCATCCTGGTTCTGGAGTTCCTGTTACTGTAGGTTTTGGATCTTTGCCAGGTGGATCTTCTATTGGCTCTGGAACTGGTTATCAACCTGGCAGTTCTGGAATCCCAGTTACTGTAGGCACAGGACATTTACCAGGTGGATCTGGAGTCGGTTATCATCCTGGTCCTATAATTCCCGTTGGTGTTGGCACTGGGCCTTTACCTGGTGGATCTCCTGTCGCACCTGGAAGTACTGGCGTCCCAGTTTATGTTGGTCCTAGTGGATCTCCAGGTAGTGGTGGTTTATCCGGACCTTTCCCGGCCGCTGGTTCTGGTTGCAAATATGTTCCTGGTACGAAAACTAAATTGTGCTCTGGCTTACCTTCCGCTGGAACACCAACTCCCGCTTTCGGACAAAGCGGTCAATCTACAGCTGGGGCAGATGCTAATGCCGATGCTGGAGCTGACTCAGGTATGTTTAAGGTCAGCAATGAATTATTTTATGTTGACAATTGTCTCTTTTAAGGAAAATATTCTGGTTCATATCCTGGCTCCTCCTCGGGCCCATCAGGAAGTGGTGGCAAACCTGGTGTTCCTTCCTCACCTTCCGGTTCTACACCAAGTGGCGCTGCCGGGTGTTGTAATGGTCCCTTCCCTGGTCCAAGTGGCAGTATTCATGACAGCAAACCAGTTTACGGCATTTCTGGATCAACCAGTTCTGCAGAAGCAGGAGCCAAGGCCAACGCGGATTCATCTACCTCATCAGGTTAGATATTTCAAATTGAAACTTTTTTATTTAAGAAAAATTGTAAAACGTATTTTTAATAATCCTTTTAATTAAACAGGTCAGTTCTCTGGATCTACCCCAAGTGTAGATGGAGCGTTCACCAGCAAACCTCTTGGCTCCATTTCTGGTAGCGGTAGTGCTACCTCGTCAGGTTCTAGTATTTCCACTTCTTCCGGAAGCTCTGGTTCTACTATCGGTGGTAGCTTCACTACTACAAGACCCGGCGGAAGTTTTGTTTTTGTTAGCAAAGAGGACAAAGATTCACCATTAACTTCAGGCAGTTTCTACGATAAACCAGGATCCGGACAATTCCCATCGTTTGCCCAGCAAAAGCCAAGCGGCCCTATCACTACTGGAAGTGGAGTAAGGCCCTCAGATAAAGATAGCGGCGATTTTGGACCTGGTACTGGAGTTCTTCCAATTGACGGATCCCAATCTCCGTCATACGGAGGTAAGTACTAAATTTAGTGTAGGTGGTAGCAAAAGCTTTTGAAACTACAATTACCTTTTTTGCAGGCTCAGCAGGTCCTTCTACCCCTTCAGGAGGAATTGGATTTGGAAGTGGGTCTCAAGTTGGTACAACTCTAGGATCAGGTAGCAGTTCAGGATCTGGTGGAGCAAGTCAGGACTTCACTATCGGGTCTGTCTATATTGGTGGATCTACTACAACACCAAGATACGATGGTGCCGGAAGTACATCTGGATCGGGAACATCAGGTAGTTCTTACACTACTTCAACAACGTCTGGAGCTGATAGTACCTTTGGAGGATCTGGTGGTTCCTATGGTACTTTAACTACCTCTGGAGCTGGTAGTGGATTAGGAAGCGGATGCGCCAAGGGTACCAAGGGAGGTAGCTGTGGTTCAGGTGGAAAACCTAGCAGTGCAGGAGGTCTCGGAGTGGGAGGTGGAATAGGAGTTGGTTAGTAACGATACTAAAGTGTGTTATCTTTCGTAAACACAATTGTTTTAGGTTCTGATAAATCAGGAGATGGCTTTGCGACTGGATCAGTTAGTATATTCAAACCTGATGGAACAACATCTTCTGGAGACGACATTATTGAGAGCACATTTGGAGCATCAGGCACATCTGGTTCAGGAGGTCAGAAAGGATCTGGATCATCATTTGGATCTGGTACTGGTAGCGGATTCGGTACCGGATCAAGTGGGTCAGGTATTGGATGCGCAGGAGGAAAGAACTGCGGATTGACTGGAGGACCAAGTGGTACTGGAGGTTTTGGAATAGGTGGTGCTGGAGGCAGCGGAATAAATGGAGGTTAGTACTTACATTCAAATAAATGAAGTTGGGTATTACGATAGTCTTTCCTACATTGTAGGAGCTGACAAATCAGGGGACGGTTTTGCTACTGGATCAGTTAGTATATTTAAACCAGACGGCTCTATATCTTCTGGAAATGACATACCTGGAAGTACATCTGGAGGACAAGGTTCATCCGGTGGTTCTTACTCAGGAGGTCAGAGTGGGTTTGGAAGTGGTAGTGGATTAAGTGGTGGCCCAACTGGATCGGGTATTGGGTGTGCAGGAGGAAAGGGTTGTGGATCCGCAGGAAGCGGTAGTGGAAGCTTTGGAGCAGGTGGTATTGGAGGCAGTGGAGTAGGAGCAGGTTAGTACTTATAATCAAATAAGCAAAGTTGGGTATTACAATAGTTTTTCCTACATTGTAGGATCTGACAAATCAGGAGATGGTTTTGCTACTGGATCAGTCAACATATTTAAACCAGACGGCTCTATATCTTCTGGAAATGATATATCTGGAAGTACTTCGGGAGGACAAGGTTTATCGGGTGGTCCATATGGTGGTCCAGGAGGTCAGGGTGGGTCTGGAAGTGGTAGTGGATTAGGTGGTGGCCCAAGTGGATCGGGTATTGGATGTGCAGGAGGAAAGGGTTGTGGATTAGCAGGAAGTGGTAGTGGAAGTTTTGGAGCTGGTGGTACTGGAGGCAGTGGAGTTGGGGGAGGTTAGTACCTATAATTTATTTATTTAATTTTACGCTATCTATAGGATGGAAAACGTAAAATAAAGTAATTAAAATAAATAGAAAAACAAATAAGAAAAATACAAGTGCAAATATTGATTGCTTTCTGATATATTTGAAATATTATTTGGAGAAATCATCTTATCAAAAGTGGCACTGAAAATTCATTAATCATATCCTCTATGGTGTTTATAGTATTTAATGATTCACCGTTATAATTTTAATTCCTAGGTATGGTACAAATAGGTTGAGTGATATACCCATAAGAATATTTTTTATGAATCAACGTTCTCACTAGAATTTCCGTGCAAGTTGAATATCACTTCTTTTAGTTTTGTTACTTATTTTTTTTAATTCAGCTAAAATTTCCATTCTGAAATATGTACACCTAAAGCAGTGCAATAATTAGTACTATCTTTCAGGATCTGATAAGTCAGACAATGGCTTTGCCACTGGATCAGTCTCTATATTCAAACCCGACGGATCCATATCCTCTGGAAACGATATTCCTGGAAGTACAGTTGGATCGGGAGGTTCTTATGGTGGTCAGGGAGGGTCAGGTTTCCCTGCCGGGTCTGGAGCTGGTAGCGGATCAGGTGTTGGATGTGCAGGAGGAAAAGGCTGTGGATCAACAGGAGGTAGTACTGGAAGTTTCGGAATAGGCGGTGCTGGAGGTGTCGGAGCTGGCTCAGGTTGGTACAGACAATATATAAACAGTTAATAATAATAATAGTTATAATATATAATAACGAAATATGCCCCAAATGGGGTACTACGAATTGAATTTCCTTGGAGTAGAGTAGTACTGTACAGGTTTACTATTTCTAGGTGCTGATAAGTCAGGCAATGGTTTCGCGGCAGGATCAGGTTCATCTGATGGAGCTTCAGGAAGCCACCAGGGAGCATCAGGTTCATTCGGCGGATCTTATGGTGGTTCAGGAGGTCAAGGAGGATCAGGAGGCCTATCCGGAAGTCAAGGAGCAGGAGCAGGCAGCTCTTCGGGCGCGTTTGGAAGTGGTGGCGATTTCGGCCACGGTTTTAGCAGCGGAGCAGGGGGCAGTTCCTTCGGAACCGGGATTCCCTTCGGTAGCGGATTCGGTGGAGGGTTCGCTTTTAGTGGATCCAGTGCTCACAGCGGTTCCGGTTACCAGGGAGTGAAAGGAGGAAGTGGGAGTGGAAACGGTGCTTTGTCATCATCGGGTAGCGCCGCTGGCTCTGGAGCCGGATTCGGGGACTTGTTCAACAATGTGTTTGGATCCAAGGGCGTTGCGGGGTCGTTCTCTAAATCTGGGTCCTTTGCCGGGTCCGGAGCGAGTTCTGGATCTTTTTCCAAGTCAAACGCATACTCAAGCGCTTCAAGTGAGTTGAAATTTGATTATTTATTTAAAGATAATATTACAATACAATTAAAAGTATCAAACAGATAAAAATGAAAATATAAATAATAAACAACAACAGAAATAAATTACAAAATGTGTATCTTTTAAAGAAAATGAGGAAAGGAAATAAATAGTGATTTTTTTTTATTAAAGTATACATTTTAGTTTAAAAGGTTTGTAACACAAAATAGAAAACATCCTTTTCATAATATTTGTTCAAAATGCCAATTGGTAAACTAATCCGATTTTTTTTTCAGGTTATTCCAGTGCCACTGCCAATGCAGGTTCCTCGTCATATTAAGTATTAGGAATTATTGTTGTATTTTTATCTGTGAAAGATTTTATGCTTTAATATGTGATCTTATTTTTAATACAAAATATAGGTTTTAAGTATAAGTTTATATTTATTTCTCGCATCAGACAATAAAAAACTTCGAGTGGCAAATACAGGGTTCAAGGGAACTGCCTAGCCGGGTGTCTTGGCCGATGGAGTTCGATCGGCCGAGGTAAGCATCACGGACGCAGGCTGGAACTTGGATGGGTGACCTAAGGCAGGCTCGTGGACGTGGCTGTGGCAGCTTACCAGAGACCTGGGTCGCTCAACACTTTCCGCCTGCGTGTAACTCAAGACCAATTAAAAATTGTACGAGACTTTGCCACCAAGCCACCCGTGTAGTAAATAGGATGGTTTGAAGAAAAGTACTCGAGTAATGAAGGAGGGTGTACAAGGGGCGTAATAAGGCCCCTAATAAGGAAAATTGCTTTTTCCACCACCCCTCCGACATACATACATACAGGGTGATTCAGAACTTATCCAAAAAAATTTTTTTGGATGGTGCAGGTGACTCTTACAAATACAATTTTGTAAAAGTCGTAAATCAAAAAGGGCAGTTCGAAAATGATTTAAAAATACAGTTTTGTAAGGCACTGGAAACTGGTCCACTGTAAAACCTGACCTCGTACAATGCGATCAACATGGCGGCAAAGTGTGATAAAAACGGACAAAAACTTAATTAATAAAATTAATTTGTGGTTTTAAATATTAAAATAATTTGACATACCTGATGCAACAACTGTTAAAAATTTTGTCCATCGACGTGTAAACACATTTGGGTCCAATTTCTACGACCTAACATAAATGTGTCTTGCTTCACCATAAATTAAAACGATATCCATCAACACCGAGTTGCTATACACGCAAGCCATTTTTGACATTATGTACTAAAAAAACTATTGTAAACACTATCGCAACGACGATTATAAAATCGGATTTCAATATTCCGAGTCGCTGAGACCACGTGGCTCTCCATGCGTATTACGGATGACGCTGAAGACTACAGTTGTCCAGCTATGTAATAGTTGAAAGTACTACAACTTCAATATTCTTTTTCTCGGAAACTATAAGAATTTCACAAAAATTTAATTACGATATTTACTCCATTTCTCATGCCGCATCTATTCCCAAATTTTTTTGGCTGAATTGTGAATCACTCTGTATACCTATAGCTGCCACCCTAAGAAAACATATTTACAATTACTGTTGTTTAAGAAAGTTTATTACAAAAACGTAGAAGGAAATATTAAATATTCCAGTAGACAAAAATAAATAAAAAAATATAGAAAAAGTGAGTAAAAGTTATAAAAAACATTCTACAAAAAATAAAACAGATATTTCAATAAAAATCTGAAAATGCAAAAAATCAAGAAATAACTCGCATTTTATTGGAAATTGTGAGGTTAAACAATGAGGACAAATTATTTAGCCACCCGTAGAAATTAACCCTCATAAAATGCTGCTTCAAATAAGCTCCAGAAATGTTACGCTACTATCAATAAACAATATTTTACTAAAGAAGCCTATTTATTAATGATTATTGACTGATTAAAAGGTTTCTTGGTAAATTTTTATTTATTATTGCAAACCCATCTTCTTATTGCGGCAGCTATAGTACGATTTGTGCCATAGAAAAAGTTTTTATATCACTTGTTAGGTTGTTGATGATGAGATGAGTTTAATGACAGTATCAGCAAATATCTGTTTTTACTTCAAAGGAGTTACTTTTTAGGACACTAATAAGTGATTTTTTTGTTAGAACTATCTACACTTATTCAATTATTAGCGTTGTTTTTAAATTTTCCCTTCATATTTCAAAAGTTACAAATAAAAAACAAGATATTTATAAATGGACAATGTCACCATTCCTCGTTTTTTACTTTTAACTTTTTAAATGAAAAACAAAAACAATGAGCTGACGCTGGATAACTTAGGAACACTTCATTTAGGCACTGTTATTTCGTTTTTAGGTATTCTCCTTATAAAGGTTAGTTATAAAAATAGTTATTTGTTATTTCAATAAGAATGGAAGTATTTTATTTTTTTAAAGGATTTTTTACTTTAAGCGCATATTTTATGCCAGCAAATTTTGATAATAATGTCAACAGAAATAAAGGAAACATCCTACATTTGCATTTAAAAGTTTTTTTCTATCTTTAATTATTAAAGCTGATGTGATTGTCAAACAAACAACCTACCTTGTGTATTAAATAATTTTATAAAAATTATATCTTCATCAAAAATAAAACAAAAATAATTGTTACTAGCTGTTTAAAATATCTTTATGAATTTGTATATTTGGAAATATATTTTCTGGTGTATTTCAATACGAAAAAATGTAGTAAGTAATTAACGAAATTAAATAACCTAACTGTGACACCGCTGCAGATTATCTGAAGTGGACTACATAGGTATTCGTTGATTCTTTAAAAATTTGTATCAATACTTATATCATATATTTAAGTAAATACAGTAATAAAAAAATAGGCATTGATAAAAATAGTGTATAGAACCGAGCGTACGTGTGACAACATTGCCAAATTGTTGTTTATACGTTGCTAGGATACGCGTAGGAATCCCAAAATTATGGTGGCGGTGTACTCTATTCGGAAACTTAAAACTGCTGTCCTATTACAAGTGCTGTCTGGAGGCATTATCGCTGTGCCAGGCTATTCATGCAGTGCAGTAATCGGGTGTATTTCTATTTTCTACCGTTCGCCGTTTTCTCAAAACGATAAATAAATTGTGATCGCACGAAATATGACAAAAAGTTTATAGTTTAGCCAAGTGCAATTTGTGTTTGTGTATATAAAACAAAATATTGTTTCTAAATACGTTTTTATTTTCTTAAGTCTTATACAGGAATGAATTAAGAACATTAAGTAATGTTTGAGGATAATTTTCCATAATCATAACCTGAAAATAATAAAATGGAGAACTGACAGAAGTATTTAAAAAAAAATAATATTTTTACCTCTAGCTAGTTCACCACCATATCCCGCAGCACCACCATATCCTGCTCCTAAAAATATATAACGTGTTATAGAAAATTTACATTTAGACAAGTTTCAAGTCAGTTATTTTTCCTCAAAAAATCCTTTTATACAATGCAAAATGAGACATTAGCTAAAAATTACGCATATGAAATTGTATTGAATATCAAATAAAATTATGGAAACATATACGTTATTTAAAAAATATAGAATATATAATCAGTTCGTTTCTAAAGAATAAATGAATGATAAATAAAAAATTAAATTTAAAAACCTCCACTGTATCCCGCAGTAACGACCCCGACTGAAGAGCCAACTTCATAGCCCCCACCTACTCCAGTTGCTCCATATCCGCTGCTAAGCCCTCCTCTGAGGTATCCCCCTGAGAGAAAGGAAATAAATAATAATAAATCCCCTTTGTCGATGTGATTTAAGTTAAAACTTACCACTCACGAAAGCAATTGTAAGTACCAAAAGGAAAAAGATACAGAAGGCCTAAAAGATATAAAACAAACGTCAAAATACTTATATTGCTTAATTTTTTTAAAAATAGACATGATTTAGTGGTTTTCAAGCTTTCGCGGCCTTAACTTAACTTACGACTTAAAGTACGATGGTTTTTCGGGCTGTTGTGCCGTGGTCTATGTATCTGGTCGCTGCCAATTACGGACATACGTTTCTATCCGTAACCAACAAGGACCGAAACGAACATCAGAGCAGGCCTAGGTGTTATAACAGCGGGTCAACCCCCACAGACCTTAGTCCGAGAATAACAAGGGCAAGTCAAAGATTCCTAGCTTAGGCTAAGAAAGCACAATGTTAGTCTGTAATTGGCAGTGACCAGCTACATAAGCCACGGCATAACAACCCTAAAAACCATAGATACAGAAATATACATAGATCACAAGTTATTAAAAGGAATTTCGAGATACAGGTTTTAGAAAAAAGTTATTTCTGTAAATTCCAAAAAGAACTGTTTCCAGAGATAGACGTAGTAATTTTTATTTACATTTGCTTCCTTGCTTTCTTTTTATTTGTTTCATGTATCTCAATGAATTCTGGATAAATATTGCTAGAAAGTACCTTTTCGAAGTGAATGATAAAACAGACAATATCTAGATAATTTATTGATAAAATTATTTTTGGAAAAAAATATTTTTTATTAATGAAATTAATGGCATTAGCACTAAAACAACATATTTCCATTCATTTCATTCATTTCATATTATTTATGTATGCATCTCTTTATTTTGTTTTACACATTTAATATTTTTTATTTATTAACGTATTAATTGTTATTAATTCTTACCTTCATTATTATGGCTTGCTTCGTCTTCGTAAGTTTTACTACTGATGATCATGCATTGCGATCTGTTTTATATAGTACAACTCGACATTTTTAATTCTTTTGCGGCTTAGATAGGAATCGAGTACCTGTTTCCTGTGAATTTGATACTACCACTTGATCTAATGTGTGCAATATTGAAACTGAATGTTTTACATTGTTGATATTTAAAAATTGTCCAGATTTATAGTACAGTGCAGGCAAATGCATTTTTCACGTTTTTATTTGGAGAAAACATAATTATTCGTTAAAATTTTTCTCACTCATTTTAGTTTCATATTTAATAACGTTTTTCTATTATGTACCAACTGATTCTGGATAGCAGTATAGCATCTTCTAGGAGGCGAACTTCCTTATAGTCTAAAAATTTCAAAAACCGTTTTTGGATGAGAAAATTAACACACCAAAAACCAGTTTGGATCGTACAGAAGTAATAGGTATTCATTTGTGTTTATAAATTGTTTACTTTTACCTACAACAAATCCCTAAACTTTTAAAAGAGAAGTATTTTTTTCTTTATGCGATACTTTATTTCTTCGATTAAATCGTTCATAAAAGTAAAAAAACAAACAGTGGTCCAACATTTGAACCTTGAGGCACACCTGGAAAAGGAACAAGTGGTGGTGGTTTGGAAACCTGGTTTTCAGCAAACCATAATATAATTGTTAGATTTCATGTACACAATATTTGAAAGTCGTCACTAAAATAATTTACGTTCTTGTGAAATTTTAATGGATTATAAGAATACTTAGAGTATTTAAATATTAGTAAAATGATATCATCGAATGGGTTACCCAAAATTTCAAACAAGATATAATCTGTGATTAAATAAGTTAGAAGGTAACTATTATTTATCTTGTCAAAAAATTAATTTCATACTAACGACTAAAATCAATATTGACATTCACGTATTGTTAAATGATTATCTTCCCAATGAATTGCAGAATAATTTTATAGGCAATTAAAACTAAATAATTATAAAAAATAGTATATTATAGTAAAATTTACAATTTACAAAAATGTACAAGAATGAAATGAAATTTTGGAGCGATGTAGACTATGACGATTTGAAGGAAGGTCTTTCAGCTAGAAGGAAATGGTTGTATTCATATTTACCACCATCCTCCGCCTGAAAAAAAAATAGTTAAAACAATCTATAAAGAATTTTTCCAATTTATCCTACCTGATTTCCAACCGCCGCCGCCGCCGCCGGATCTCCAGCCGCCTCCATAGCCGCCGCCTCCATATCCGCCGCCTCCGTAACCGCCGCCTCCATAACCACCGCCTCCATAACCGCCTCCGAAACCGCCGCCGCTGGGTACGACGACTTTGATAACTTTCACGGTGCTACCGCCTCCATAGCCTCCTCCAAAACCACCGCCTCCGAAACCGCCGCCTCCGCTGTAGCCGCCGCCTCCAAAACCGCCTTTCCATCCGCCACCGCCGCCTCCAGAACGCCAGCCACCGCCGCCTCCGCTGTATCCACCGCCGTAACCGCCGCCATAGCCGCCTCCCAAGCCGCCACCGCCGCCGCCGAGGTAACCAGCTGGAAAAGAAAGTGCAACAGCTCAATTTTTTCAGTCTTGAATGTATGTTCAATTAACTAAACAATTTAACATTAGTTGTACAAGCTTTCTATTTAAATGATCTGGGGTCAGTCAGGATCATCTAAATCGAAAACGCTTATTAGTTTTAACCTCAAAATGTATACGAATTTGTGGCTTTCTACATGTTTACGGTGAATTGTGGTTTGGTATCTTGAAAATAACAACAATAATTAGTCATAGTTTTGTTTTAGTAATGATAACAGAAATCATATACATTTCTCGTATTTCAATTATTAAGAGCATGTTCTCTTATAATCTTAATTTTATTTAAAAGTTTTTTTGACCACTGTGTTTTTAACGAACAACTATTGTATCAAATATTGACAAGTTATTAGCTGCATCATTATTTAGAACCATATTTCCATAAATTAAATATTTAATTATGTATATCTTAATCCTCAGAGTATTGATTCTGACGAAACACTTATCTGTTTATTCATCTTTGAAATGAGTTATTGAAATGAAAGCTGCTCTCTTGATGGGATTAGTAATAATTGATTTATTGTCGTGAATAGAGAACAGTACTATTATGTGTATGTATGGGATTGTCGTTATAGTATTGGGACATAATTCGATTAAGTATTTTTTGAAAGTAGTGAGATTAAACTGTCGCAATTTTTCTTTATAGTTGATGCGTTTTAAGTCGGAGACATTTTTCTTTGAATACTTCTTTCGACAGCGATGACAGAAGCACACATAATATAGGTACTGAGTTTTTATATGGATACATCAGAGAGAGATGTCGTGTCCCTTCCCAAAGACTGTACAAACAAATTATTCCACGGATATTTGTAATAATTTGTCCGCTTGGATAATGGCTTGAATATCATTATACATGCGGGCTAAAATATGTTAATTTAGTGCAATAAATCATCAAAAGTTTCTCGAAAATCGGAAGTGACACGTAAGACAAATTATCGATATTGACAAAATCTGACAGGCTTTTTACAGTTTAGATAGACTGTAAATGTATATGTTGACCTATTTTCTTTTTAAATATGCAGGCTAGAATTTTGTTCTAAAAAATTTATTAATATCAGAAATGACTCCCGAAATGTTGATATATTTTCTCAACAGTAGATTCTGATTAAATCTAAATAACTTTTTTAAAGGTACTGAAGTTTCATCAAAGTAGTACTAATTGTTATGTTGATTATTACAAACACACTACACTTAAACGTAAACAAGGAATTGGTACATCGGATTCCTCTTTACATCATCGAATATGTCTAGAATTTAAATGACTGTTAAATGGCCTGTGCTCAGAAGCAATCCGGAATGCAGTGTCGATTGTTTCATGGCATTCTGGGATATGGTGGTAGCAATTTCTAAATGATTAGATTAAGCATTACTGTAAGTTGTGCAAGGTGACGAGAACATGTACATATACACACTAATAGGCTGCTTTCCTGATGGAGTTTGTAACAGAAAAATGTGCAGGAAATAATGGATTTGCTCTTGATTAAAACATTAACTACTATACTGGTATCAATAGAGCAATACCTAGCTAATATAATTTTGAAGTAGATTGAGTTGCAGTCTTTCAGTCACCAGTAACTATTTATAGTTTTTCTAAATACATTTTCTGCCGTGGTGAAAATTTTGGAAAAGGTTATTTATAAATTCAATAAATTTTGTGTAAAACAGAATGCAATCTTGATATCAAAAACGACTAAGTTTTGCGGCGTATTTCCATATAAAGGTGTATTTATCTAAGACAGTTTAACAGTTCGAATACCTGCTCTTACAAAAAAACCCGTTAGGAAATGTAGAAAACAAATATTTGATGCTATTCATTCAACATATTTTCACTTATTTGGATAAAATAACGGGTAAGTGAAAGTAATTTACTCAATAATAAAAATTTATGATACCGAGTCGTCTGAATATGGGCAGAATTGACAAACTTATACAACTGCAATGACTACAACGACTTCTAAGACCATCGTAGCTTAAGAAATAGTTAACGTTCTGTATATACAGAGTTGTTTCCTGTCCTTTAGTAAATATTTTTTTTAGAATTTCGGTCGGGTAAAATTCTGTCTATTTGTTTTTATCTTGTTTACTTAAAATATACGTGGTTTTTAGATTTATGAACAAATTGATACTTAAATTATTTGATATTTATTTGAAAAGAAAATAATGTCACAAAAGTGTGCTTACAATAATTAAAAAAAGCTGTCTCCTATTTCATATTTAAACTATTAATATGGTTTGAATATAGGTATTTATAAATTTGTTAAAACATTTAACTTCCGTTAATTTTTCCTAAAAAATTTTTTTCAGAATGCTTTGTCAGAAAAAGTCATACAGTTGATTGTTTTCAGTGTAATATTGACAACCATTTTTTAAATTTAGTTTTCGAACAAAGCGGAACTTTAGATGACAAAAAAAATGTTCGCAAAAATTAATCAAACAAGTATTATTTTTTTAGTGGTCACAACATTTTGCTGCTGGTAGAAAAACAATTGTAGATGACGCTATAATAGGCGAGCGGTTCACCCCTAAAAAAAGGCATGAATCGACTCAATTTTTAAAACAAAAACCTGCAGCATGAAACTTTTTATAATGATAATTTACATATTTTTTGGCGTGGTCAGTCAATTGTTAAAAAAGTTGTATAAAAAATTACTCGCCGAATGGCTTTTTATTGTAAAATGGACCAAAATAAAAACTTTTTGTTCTTTGACATAAATTCGAAAAATGCTTCGATTCCGAGATATTTACAATATAATGTGAAAAAAGTGACGAAATCGACAAATTTTCGTAATTTTTTTCTCAAAAACTTCTGAACAGATTTTAATTTTAAAAAAAGCATAATAATCGGCAGATTTCTACTTTAAGATATATTTTTTTGGTATGGGTCCATCATTTTATTGAAGGTCTAAAGCGAGTAAAAAAAAGTCTTTTTAAGAAAATTATGATAACACTTCAAATTTATTTTTTTTTTTACAATATCTTGGATTAGATTATATCTACAATAAACATTATTATGATTTTCTTTAATCGATATATGTTAACAGTACACATGTTCAAAAGGTCATTTTGTTTGGTTTTGTAGCCGGTAAGTAAAGTTTTTGCAAGTAATTAGTAAAATTTAAATATTCGATTTTTGGTTTTATAAATGGCTAAAATTGACTTCAAAGTTATACCAAAACTAAACTAAATAAGTTTTTAAATCGTAAAATTAACCTAAAAATAATAACCGACCTAGCGGTCTCGAAAAATAAAAAGTTATTGGATAATTTATTGCATAGGATAATTATTTTAATTTTATTTTACAAAAATATTAAGAGCAATAAAAGTATACCTATTAGTTTATTTTTTATTTAATTTTTAAATAATACATTTTTCGTTATTTTCGACAAGTTCTTGAATTGAAATAAGCGTTTCATTATCAATTTCGGATGGAACATTCCGACATTCATCTGAGCGCGCACAGACTGCACAACATCCCAGGTTCGATGACAAGCAGTTACAATTTTTCGTAGAACATTTTCCACCACGTGAACAAAAATATTTTTGAAGCATATCTAACGCAGTTTCTCCTTCGAAATAATTAAAATCCAAACAATTTTCGATTTTCCATCCATGTGTCAATGGATCTAGAGATACAATTTCACTATTTGTAGACTGCTTTTTTTACTCGCTTTAGACCTTCAATAAAATAATTGACCTATATCAAAAAAATATATTAAACTAGAAGATCTGCCGATTATTATGTTATTTTTAGAAGTAAACTCTGTTCAGTAGTTTTTGAGAAAAAAATTCCGAAAATTTGCCGATCTCGTCACTTTTTTCATATTAAATTGTAAATATCCCGGAAACGAAGCATTTTTCGAATTTTTGTCAAAGAACAAAAAGTGTTTATTTTGGCCCATTTTACAAAAATGATTTCAAAGCAAAGCCATTCGGCGAGTAATTTTTTTTAGAATTTTTTTGTTTATAACAATTGACTGACCACGCCGAAAAATATAATAAAAAATATGTAAATTATCAGAAAAATACACTTTATAAAATAAAAAAGTTTCATGCTATAGGTTTTTGTTTTAAGAATTTAGTCGGTTACTTTCATTTAGAAGCATCTTTTAAGGGTGAACCGCTCGCCTATAATACTTGGTTTCAGTAATTTTGAAAAGTGATATTTTTAGCACAAAATACACTGTATATTTAGTCTCATTTGAAACAATAAGTTAATTTCAGCAGCAGGCGCATTTTTATAAAAAATGTTCTGATTTTGTATTTTTGTATTTTTATAAAAGTGGATATTTTATAAAAAAATATATTTCTAAAAGTTTTGGAGCTATAAATTAATTAGAATATGGGTTTTTTCCACAATTCTCATAGATTGATTAAGGAAAAGACAATAAACGCAATTTTTGTAAATTCCTGATTTAAAACTTTGAATTTCTTGGAAAAGTCGGACTTACCTTCAGCGAAGCCTGCCGCAACGGCCACAACTAGAAGACACACGAATACCTAGAAGAAAAAAACAGAATTTAAATCCTCTTGAGATCCACACCCATCACTGTATGTCACTGAAATTACCTTCATGATGAAACAAAAAACTTGACTGATTTAGTGTCCAAAGTGGATGAGTTTATATCGTTGGCGGTAAACCTTGGACCCCCCTTTCTAATCCCCATCCCTCTGGCTCGCGTCTTCAGCATCCCCCCGTAATGTCAGCCGTTTATGAAACAAAATTCACATGCGCCGGCCGCCTAGATCTGGACCGCGTCTTGCGCAACACTCGGTTTAATGAAATCGTGTAAACTTTGATATTCTCATTTGAATCGAGAGCTCGTCGGAATATTTTAGCAATTTTACCTGTTTGGGAACTATAATGTGGTCGGCTAGCGCAGAGTTCAGAGGTTGCTAGATGGTGATTTTCGGTTTCAAGGCAGCAACGAGTAAAATTTTCTTTTCGTTTGTATTTCTGTAAGTAGTAAAATAAAACCAATTTTTCTTTAAAGTTAAATAAATTCACTGTTCACTATTGATATTTTCGAAAATAAGAATTAGGAAAAACAAAAATAAAAAAAAAGTATGTAATTGCACGTATTTAATTTTTGAAAATTTTCGTAAAAAAATACTTTTCAAAAACATTATCCATTTTTGGACTTTTTTACACATGCTACAAATACAATTTTAAAAATTTAAGAAAATTTGGAAGAACTATTTTATTGTTTGAAATAAAAAATAGTTTGATAAAAATAACACCTCACTGTTCTTTTTGGTGAAAATGCTTATTTACTTTATTTTTTAATTTTTTTTTATCAGTTGAGAAAATACTCGAATAAATGGAGAAAAAACTAAATCTGTGTTACGAATAATATTTTTTGTTTTGAATTGTACGAAAGATAGGCATATGGATAAAAATATAGACTAGATTTTTTTTTATGAAAATTATGCAAATTGTGTTTCCCAGGTTGATAATAATTGTTGAAATGCAATGACAAATTTTATCACAAAATGTACGCAATGAATTTTGAATTATTGAAATTGTGACCAAAATTTTAAAATTTAATTAAACAAACTCAAAACATTTTGCCTAACCAAAAATTTCACACTGAAAAAAGCAGATAAATACAAAATACACATCACTATTTATTGCATAATTAAAAAAAATTATTTCCTCTTCCGAGCTAATAAAGACTTTTTAATTATTTTTTATAGTTTAAATTTGTTAACAGACTTACACTGTCAAAAGACTAACTATATTATGTTTGAAACGTCTACAGCTTTTTGATGTTCGCGATATACAGGGTGCTTTCAAAAGAAGTAGCACAAATGGTACCAATGAATCTACAGCTGAAATTAACAGGATTTGCATATAAATGAACTTAGTAAAATGTCCATCCCTTAGAGGATACATCCCTCAATTTTTTTGTTAAGTAATAAAGCTTCAAAGCAAAAAAGTGAGATGTAAAAGTTTTAAAATAAACCGGGCTATCTGATAAGTATTTTTTAATATTCAATTTTTGTGAAACAAAAAAGTTGTAACAAAAAATCACTTTGGGGATGTTTATTTCAACCCTCTCCAAAGGGCAGAAATTTTCGAAAAACTGTTGAAAAGTTGCAGATACATTCGTAGAAAATTTGTGCAAAATTTGATTATTATACTTTTTTTTTTAGTTTTCAAATAATATATCCATATATTTTTTTTGGGAACTAAGAGACGGTATCTCCTAAAGGGTGAATCTGAGGTATTTTTTATGCAAAATGTGTTCTTTTTAACTTTTTAACTTCTTTTAATTTGTCTGAATTTTTCAGTGAAATTTTTGGTTAGGCAAAAATATTTTCATAAAAAACCCATGGCTGATTCTTTTGGCCCAAAGGTATGTTCTACTAGTTTTTTAAATTTTGTTCATAGCTGACAAATTACCCAACAAAAAAAAAACAAGACAACTGTGCCAAAAATTAACTTCAGACAATGTAAAATTTTAATTACGAATTTTAAAATAAATAGTTAAAATGGATTTGAGGCAAAAGTAAATTTATAAAATTAACCTCTTGACTGATTTTTTTGTCGCAGAGAGACCCAACCAAATAAAAAAGTAAATTATATTAAAATAGCCCTCAATATTATTTTTTTAGCAAATTTTCAACATTTACCGCAACAATTTGATTTTTATAAATGTCACATTCAAATAAAACATTTATTTGTATTTATACTTACCAAAAAGACCAGTTATTCTTTTATCGACCTTTACCTACATATTTAATTTACTATTTCTATTTCCCATAATTAAAAAAGTTGGCCAAGTCTCCCAATTTAGACAAAAATAAAAATAATATGTTTGTAAATCTAATAATTTTCCCAGGTATTTTGAAACGCTTAAAACGTTTATCTTGTTTTTGTCTGAAAATGAATCATTTTGTTTATAAAGTACAGTCAAATCTGTCAACAATCTGTTGCAATAATGTCTGAAGAGATACAAAAAAACGTAAATATTCATGTTTCCATTCATTTAATTTTTTTTAATTAAATCGTGGTTTCCTTGAAAACATACCTATTTTATTATTTGAATCGGGCACAAGATTTGAATAGATGTCCTTATAATCTTTATGTTAACGCTCACATATTTATTGACATGAATCGTTTTACAATCTATAAAATTTAATGGAATGCACTTAATTTTGGTCGAGTCACCTTTGAAATTATTTCAGTAGCGACGAATATTTCGAATAATATGGTTTTCCGAAAGCCAAAAAAGTAAAAAATGTTGTAAATATTAAATATACCATCTTCCTAAATTTGAGACTCTCATAGTATGCATTGGAATTATTATACGTATATGATTAAGCTGCGTTAATCAGCTCTTTTGACATTTAAGTATTATTAATACTATAATAAGCTAATTATGAAACATTCAACAGTAATAGTCATCTACAATTCACATCATTTATTGTTTATTTAAGGCCTGGCTAATGATTAGCGAATTGTAAATTATACATTGCCGAGAAACAAACCGTAGCAATATTAAATATTATAAAAATTATAGAGCGCTGTTGTAAATAATAAGCGTGATTACAGATGGCTGTGTATTTATAAGTAACAATTGCGTTTATATTCTCAAAGCGTGTACCTACTCTAAATCTGAAATTTCTGAGGTGGCAAATATTAAAGATACGACGGATATACAGGGAGGTCTAAACTGCTGATATGTTCAGAATGCCCCTTGCCTCTTTTTACCTTTGTTTCTAATAAAGAATGGTAAAAAGACGAAAGTTTTAGAAAGAAATGTATAAAAACACAACCCATTGTTGCATTACCAAGATATAGACCAAATATAGGATACGTATATTTGTCATTTGTTCCATTCCTCTCTTTTTTTTCATTACAATGATATTATACGGGTAATATAACTGCTCTTGATGGTCAATATTTTTTTTAATCAGTACATAAATCAAAATATCGTGCAAACTGTCAAAGCAAATGTATGACATATAATCGGAAAGAGGAGAGAATTTCAGTAAATCAGAAATATAGTGTTTCATTAAAAAAAATTGTTTATACCTTCGGAACTCAGGAGTCAATTGTTTTTTTTACATATTTATTTGATATCATTTCCTACAACTTTGGCCTTTATCATTTTTTGTTAAATATAAAAGTAGTGTGGTACAGTTTTGTGAGTTGCCTTTTACATAAAAAATAAGGGTAACTTTTTATATTACTTTTTTTTCAAAAAAAGATAATAGAGATATACCACTTGATGACCACTTGATAAATATCATATCTTTTGTGATATCTTAAAATTCTTTAGAGATATCTTACCGATATTTCAATTTATTACAAAAAAATAGAAAAATGTTGATCTCTTAAGGCAAGCAAAAATATTTTTGTTTAAGTTTGGCAAATCGAACCGTTTCATGAATACTCTGTGATTAGTACTTCGAAATATGAATAAGATATCTCAAAAGAACTCTTAAGATATCGCAAAAATATTATATTTACCATCCCTCTTTAAACAGTTATATCTCCCTTACTATCCATATTCAAAAGAAGGTTTATATAAAAAGGTATCCTATTTTTTTTTTAATATTGAGTGGCAATTTGAGACTACCCTGTATATCACTGGATTCCTACGACTAATAGAAAATATGTAAATAATAGTGAAAATAATAAAATTTTTTAAATCGAAGTCTATATCACTTTCTGCAAAAAGCATAATATTTTTCATAGAAAAATAAGTGAATTTTATGGCAATTAATTTCTTGTAAATTTGTATTAATTTTTTCAAGCTCGGTTTCTTTTCAAAACAAACACTTCCGTAAACGTGATTTGATTGTTATGTGTGGAATAGAATCATTTCTATGGCCTTGAAATATTTTGCCACTTTGTTTAAAGGCAAATACACACAATTAAATACACTCAAGGAAGTGTATATCTATTAATAATTCTTTATTACGAAAACAGGAAATAATATACAGGATGATCTAACAATGAGAGTAAAGATAAGGGTGATATAACAAAAAAAAATATATAATAATTTTTTCCTATGGACCTTATTTTAATTTTGGGACGTTTTTTAAAATCAAATTTTAACCACATCTTTTAGAAAAAAGAACGTATTGCATTAAACATTTTTACGAATGCTTTTGAGAGTGCTAAATGCGATACTGTTGTTAGTCTTTGACTATCTGCTAGAGGTCGCTAGTTACTATCTCTCCCAGACACATTTTGTGACAAAAGACTCTTTTACTGTGATGTCACAAGGCAACCCGCAACAAATTGTCATAGTTGAAATTGTACAGACTGAATCTGACCCTTGTGTACTATTTATATAGATACTATAAAAATGAACAATTACAAATTAATTTATTTTTACAAGGATTTGGAAGTATTTAAGAAAAACCAACACGTGTTTGGTAAAATAGATAATAGGAATAGGTAATAGATGATAAAATTTACAAAAAAAGATATAAAAGAATATGCTTAAAATTAAATAAATAACATTAGGAATAACGCATGGTATTCCTAATGCGCATGCTCGGAAAGAATAGCCTCATACGCAGGTGAGCTCTTGTTGATATGTTATCGCTGTCATCATTACCATATTTTCTCTTGTTTTGGCATTTTCTAGTTCTACTAAGTATTGTTATTGTTTTTCTTGATGTTGTACTGTGTCAGTGAGTTTATCGATTGTTTTTTTCATCAAGTGGTTTATTATAGACGTGCTATTAAACAGTACCAAACTTTTCTTGAATGATATCCTGTTGCGAGGCTATTTCGCTTATATGAAATTATCTTTAATGCGCATGCTCAGTAATATTGATATAATTTTAAATTATTGATTACTATAAAAGTCAATTTTGTTATATAAATTAAACATATATAAATTCTATAATTCTTTTAGTTTGTCATTTCGACAGACAGAAGACATTTTTTTTTTTTTTGGCACTTATCTCTAAAGTACATATGGTTGAAACTTGAAAATCGATCTAGTAAAAATATTGTGAAATTTTTCTTGACAATATATATGGGCGTATATATTTGGCGTATGTGACGTCACTATTAAAAGGGTCTGTTATTTTGAGGTTAGGTTAGGTTCGAGTAGGTGACGATTTCTAGCGGTTGGTCAAAAACTAACAACAGATACGTATTTTGGAAAAGATACAGTGGAAATTTAATTTAAAAAAATTGCCTTTGTCACCACTTATCTCAAAAACTATAAAGTATATGCCCTTGGTTTATAAAAAAGAACAGTCTCATTTTTTGTTGCCCCCTAACTTTTTTACATTTATTTTTAGATCAACTTGACATTATCAACAGGTTTAACATACAATGCGTACCTATTCAAAAAAACTTAAATTGATATTATTCTTCCTGTTATTCAACATTTACGTTTATATGTGCTATGTGTGGGTGTTGGCGATTTTGTTGTGTCTTTAAAATGAGGTAACAGCGGATATATGTGACACAGGTAATTGTAGCGATGCATTTTTCCGAGTTATTGGAGAAAGCTGATTCTGCTCGCGAAATAATTTATCCGCGCATGTAAATGGTACTTGAAGTTGAACTGCGCGTAGGGAAGAGTCCTAGATTCGAATAAAGCGGGCGACTTGGTTGCACAACGCAACAGGAACCCGGGCCGAAATCTGCATTTCCAGGGACGAACTGGCGCATGCGATTATAATATAAAAGTAAATATACAGTATAATACAATACAATTTATTTTTACTTGCTCAATATTATACAATACGAATGTATCGATGAGTTGAAAATAACTTTTAAACACTTTTTTATGCATTTGCAAATTTAAATGGCTTTTTTATTGAAAACGTTTGGCTTTAGAGATAATACCTACCTGTGTTAAGCAGAAAAGTTGAAGGAAAAGATTTTTTCAACCCAAAGTGAAATACACTGTGGCACAAAAAAGTTTTGGCAGTTTAAATGCGTCCTAATGGTCGCTTGTGGCGCCCTCTAGAAGATACAACGAAATCGTTGAAAAATTCGAATTTCTCATCCCAAGAAACCCCCGGATACGAAATTTCACAAAATTAGCTTGACATAGTCGGAAGATATTAAAGAAAATGTTATTTATTTCTTCAACTTTGACACTTTGTAGCTCCGATATTATCAATTTTTGGACTAAATCGTCTTATTTTGAACCGTACCGTATCTGGTGGAGCGTTGTACAGACCTTTTAGAACACCTGTATAAAGCTTAGAGGTGATCTGATTCCAAAGATTGAATGAATGAATTTAATTTTTTACAGTTACCGAGAAAATTATTAATTACTATATTATTATATTTTCACAGATAAATCCTTCTTTTCATGCACGTAAGTTTAAAGAATTGTTTTAATTTTCCTTTTACTTTCTCATGTTTTTAATATTAACTGTCAACATACACAGATTTGGTCCATAAGAAAACAATGACTTTTCCTTATGTGATCCATGAAATATTGTTTATATATTTTAAAAATAAAATGTGCCCAATTTCTGTCCCCTGTGGAACACCCACAGTAATTAAAAAAGGTTCAGTAAGTGTGCTATTTATCTTATCACTCTGAAATCGATTTTCTAAATAATTTTCTCTAATGCCAATATTTTCTATATTTTTATCATAATTAAAGATATCAAGTGCTATAACGAGATCAGGAAGCACTGTACGAAAGTCTAAACTATCAACAAAATTTTGTACAAGTCCTATTACTGCGCTATCATTCTTTAAAGCCAAATTTGTATTTACAAATAACGACATTTTTAAAAACAACAATAGACTCCTCTAGTACTTTGAGAATGGTTTCTTGTGTAATTAAATTTATTAAATATTCACTGCAAAGGTTTAGTAAGGTGGCAATGAATATATTTTTTATGGTTTTAGCATTTATTTCCACTATTTTAACAGATAAATCTAAATATACAGGGTAATTTATTTAAAGTGAGTTGTAAAATTTGGAAAAACATATAATATTAATGCAAATGACCGACGTCGATTATCTAATAGTAAATTTCTGAAATAGTAAGATTAAAACAAAAAGCAATCTCGTCTTGACGTAAGTACGCGATAAAGATGTCTTAAAAAAATTAAATATATCGTGCTCTGTAAAAGTGAAAGTGCGTGCCATATGTGGCACTAATTCAAGATTTATTGTTAAATCTTCCGGTTTTTAACTTATTGCCACAGCTAAAATCCAGGTACGTTACAGACTGTACAAAAGGCCGAGCGGGAAAGATTTGGCAATTTCAAATAAGAGAAGGTCGTGAGAATCGGGATTTGTGTAATTTGAGGCGAACACATACTATTAATTAAAAATAATTACTGGTCGGATGTTACAATAGATTCATATAATACGGACAAAGTAGTATGGACACACCTTTTGCGTAATTTAGCTCTTAAAAATGCGAGTAAATAAATTTAAAGTTATAGGAAATATAGGTATCTCAGATCTCAGGATATGGTGACTTATAAATGCATGATTCGTAAATAAACCGACACGGCACAGGTGCATGTAGAGGGTCTTACCCAGTTGCTTGGTTTAACCACTAGATGGCGTCAAAGCTGGCAAAGAAATTTTAGTTTTTTCCAAATATCTAGAACGCTTTGACTGATTTAAAAGAAATATTTAGTTCAATTGTCATAATTTGTCGTCAGAAATCTCTTCTTAACAGATTCATTATTAATGAATCACCCTGTATATTACAACTTGTCCAATTTTTAATTTAACAGAAAGGTAACAGTTTTTTCTCTTCTGTAAATTTTGTGTATTCTTAACGACCTTCGACTAATTTATTAGTCAAGAACTAAATTTGATTTATTTGATAGGTAATAAAAACGAAACGCAGTTTAGAATTTTGTAATTGCGTGTTCTTTCCTGAAAACTCTCACCATTTTCAATAACGCCGCATTCAGAAAAAGGAAAACAAATTTATGTTTTTCTCATTCTGCAAATTATCCAAATAGTTTTTCATTGAATTCATCTAATTTAAAGTTTTTCAAATAAGGATATTCAAACAGATCATGTCAGTCATATCGGTCAAAGTTGGCCACAATTTACAAATATACAAATAAAATAATCATCGTGAAAGAATATTCCATCAACAGTTCCTGTAAATTACGAAGCATTATTTCGCTTTTATTATCAAATAAATTAAATTTTTGATGGTAATTCAATTAAATTTGTATAGAAAATGCGTAGGCTAATAAAATAATTAATTACGTATAGAACCGTTAGGAATGTAAACAATTCACAGAAGAGAAAAAACTGCAAATAAATGTAAGTCTGTAAGTGAATACGAAAAACAATTTGAAGGTAATGTTTTATGCAACCAGTATTACCACTCGCAAATAAAAATATGCATTATGTTTAGAAGCCATCGCTTTAGGCTTACTTAAATAATGATTCCTCAAATTGGTGATAGGTAACTGTAAATTACACTGGTTAATTTTTTATGGACCTTTATAGTAAATGTTATAAAACTGAGTGTTAAATTGAGCTGAAATGGATGCACCTTTTACCAAAAGGTCACTTGCAAGTCGATTGGGTTAATTGACGATCCGATTTCCTAATCAGATGGATAAAATGATTTAGAAATATATCTCATAATGCCAATAACGTTCTTTGTTTTATACTTTACATCAAATATCGTGTAACTGACAACCTTATAGAATAATTAAGTTTTGACTTTGCTTCAAACAGTTTCATCATATTAACAGCTTTTATTATATATACTTAGTTAGAATAAACTGGATTCCTCTTAAATCAGATTTTTTTTATTAAAATGAACATTAAACCTAACAGGTTTAAACCGTTAGGTATTTTTCGATTTCTATTTATAAAAACCTTTTTATCTATCTTTTAATATGCCATAGTAAGTAACTGCTAATTTAACTAGATTTTTAGCTGCTAAAAATAGCCATTTCAATTAATTTTCTAAATAAAGAAACGGTTGTTATTCCATATCGACTATTTATGTTTACGAAAAAACAAAGCAAATTGCTTTTAGAGCAAGGACATGCCAAATATGTCCTGCTGTTCGTGGTCAAATATATCGTCATCTTTCTAATAGCCATTGGACTCGAAAAGATGTACTACTGATTTTTTTTTACATCTAAACCACAGTATAATACAAATAACTAGTTTTTTTCACACGTTCCCAATCTACATAATTTCTTAGGTTTTTGTTTACATCTGTATTTTCGGTTGTTTCAATTTTTTCAATGAATATATTTAATTATTGCTACATTTTTTTTGTTAGTGAAGTAGTTTTCACATTTTTTGAAACAATTTGTAATTATTTTGCATGAAAATATGCAAGAAAACCATGTCTGGAAAACCCATAGAACAGGGAAAAATTTACTACTTTTCAATATGGCTGACTTGCTCAAGATCACAATCCTTTATCCACTTAAAACTATTTATAAAAAAGTGTATGTCTCTCTGATTTTTGTTATATACATGTCTATAATTAATGATTTAACTGTTTTTGAAGAGTTTTATTGAATAAGTATTAATTTTTAGTATACATATGTACAAAAATATTGAAAAAATGAGATGCTTCGAAATGAGGGTGAATTCATTAGAAGATGATGATTGATTTTCTTAGCTGCGTTTACCACCAGCCGCCGCCTCCTCCGCCTAAAAAAAAATTGTTAATTCAGTTTTTTGCATTTTATACAATACCTTCAAAATATATTAAGCTTATTCAAATCAAGTCTAAAAATCTTTGACACAAACTAAAATCTATATGCTAAAATTCAACTTTAAAATTATTAATTAAGAGCTAACGATATTGTAGGAGACAACTACTCTGCTGCCTAAAGTTCTGTTCAGCATTGGATAACAATCGCGATATCTACTAAAATAAGCATGTTGTCTCACTGTTATTAATTAATAATTATATAAAAAATATTGAATCCAAATATTATCAATGAAAAACTGGCATTGCTTATGTCTAAATGTTGCTCTCAAAAGCATATGACTTCATGATAGCTCAAAACTACTTAAAATAAAGTAAAAGTACTAAATATTAAACCTGTATGATTTTCTTTAACTGAATCTCACGAAAAAAATATGTAGTTATATAAATTATATCTTACCGGATTTCCATCCTCCGCCACCGCCGCCCCCGTATCCGCCGCCACCCCCGTATCCTCCGCCGCCTCCTCCTCCAAATTTGCCGCCTCCTCCGCCGCCACCTCCGCTAGGTACGATAATTTTAATGATTTTCACGGTGCCGCCTCCACTGCCGCCACCTCCATAGCCTCCTCCTCCACCACCCCCATACCCTCCGCCTCCGCCTCCGCCAGATTTCCAGCCTCCTCCTCCGCCGCCGCCACTGGATATCCAACCCCCTCCGCCGCTGCCGCCGCCGGACTTCCAGCCGCCCCCGCCGCCTCCGTAGCCGCCGCCTCCACCGCCGCTGCTAATGTAGCCGGCTGAAAAATGAAAATGGTGATTAATGTGTTCAAACTTCAAATATTCAGATATTATTTTGATATTTAAATAATTATTTATGTACGTAAGCCAAGAAAACCACCTTAAATGTCAATTACTTCACTTTTGCGTTCGTGTTCCCAAAATTACACTTTTTTAAATACACGACACGACATAACATTTAAAAAGTGATATTTTTGGTCTCGAAATGGGTTCGAAAATTGTATTTTATGCTCAAGTTGACGGGAAATATCTTTATACTAAAAAATTTTTAATTACGTGTAGATATTGTATTTTGTGATTATTTAGAAAACTCATTCTTGATAAATTAAGTATGAAAATATTTACAGATGAATATCTTTTGCATTTTCTGAGCTAATATGACAAAAGTAAAATTTTAAATGTCTTACAATTAGTAACTGTGGTTTTTTACATCCTGTGTATATTCATAGTCTTTTTAGATATACTTCACTTTCTGAAACACCGTTAAAGAGTTTCAGCAATGCTCCTTATTATTTTTCATAGTCTTAATATCATCATGATCATTATCATCATCATCATCATCATCGTTAGATAATAACCATTAATTTAGGATGTATTGTTGACTTTCTTACACACCATTTGAATAAGTTCTTCCTGCTTTTCGTCGCATTATTAATCTGTTTTATCATGCGAATCAAGTAAACTTTCACGAAATTAATTACTAAGATTTCATCGATATCATTTGGTGGTAAATAATTATCGTTTTTGTGGAAGTAAATAACAGTAATAGTGCACAACTAGAGTAGGACAAGCTTAAAATTGTTTCACATGATTATAAGACTTATTTTTTTATTAGCTTGGGCACGGATTAAAATTAATAAAATAAATTATAAATATTTCAGTAATTTAAATTAATTAGAATAATTTAAAATGTACTATTATTGAAAGTGATGTTGAAACGTGACGTAATTAAAAAATATATATTAAAGAGATTTCTGTCCAGGATGTCTCTATCTATAGGTATACTTTTTTTTAATTATTACGTAAGTTTATAAAATTGCAAATCCTAGACAAGCTATGATAGTTTTTTGTAGACAATTTTTCTAAACTTTTCCACTTCGTTAAGGTTTTTTCTATTGTTAAAGAAGTTTCCTTTTTTCCATGGAAATTCAGAAAAATAAAATGAATAAAAATATAATAATTATATTGTTCATAATGTCAAAGTTGCTATTGCAGCCTATTATGCAATTTTAAACCGAATTTTGTTCGAATATCGAAGTGTGTTTTCAGATCGATTTTTAAGTTTTACTCGAAAATCAGACTTTTTTCGAAAAACTTAAGAGAGTAGTAATTTGTAGAAAATTGAAAGATGAATTCGAAAATATCATGACTGATGACTGTACAGCAGTGGCATACTATTATATTTAGAAAAATATGCCACCGATACCCTATATCTCCGGCACTGGACCATCTAAATTTTAGAAAAAGGCCTCAGTTTTTGGACAATGGTTACATAAATACATGTGCACAATTTCAGATTATTTCACTTACTAATTTTTAAATTATTTTAAAAAATTAACACCCTGTATCTTTTTAACGAAGCGTCCTAGGTAAAAACTTTATACGATAGACTCCCCTTAAAATTTACCAAAGAATACGAAGCTTCATTTTTGGTCACTGTTTGTGAATCACCCTCTATAATACTCTTAGAAGAAGGATAATGAATGGCGAACGAATTTTTATTTATGTAAAATTAATAGATACCTATTGACACGAATAGAACAAAAGTTTTTCTGTGTAGTTGCTTACGTGTAAGATATAAAAAAAATGAGAAAAGTTGTGCATAATCAAAATTTATTGTTATTTGAAAGCAATCGGCCTACTTTAATTTCCTCAACTTGTGCAAGTGCTCTTTTTGTGTAGAAAAAACGGAAAAAGCATATTAGAAGCTGTTTAAAAATAAGTCGTTTTTAATTTTACAACTTCCCGATAAAATAAAACAAAATTTACCCCGTATACTATGAAAATAGTTTTCAAAATAAAACCATGAATGAAACTATTAAGATATTTTTTAAAGATTTCAAATTATTCCCCAATTTTTAGTTCTCATATTCGCATTTTGACCCAAAGCGAAGTCTTAAAAGTCAGAACAGTTCAATGTCTTACAGGATTAAATTAAAATTAAGGCACTTACAAAAATCCTAGTTACATACCTTGAGCGCAGCTTGCCACGACAGACACAACGAGTAAGCAGACAAACACCTACAAAACAAAAAAAATGTGTTATTCACATCACAGTTAATTTTGGATTTACTCCAAATGTCAATTACCTTCATGATGACCAAAAAAAGGTGACTGACTCCAGAACCGAAGACCAGGAGTATATATAGTTAAAACTGGCTTTGCTCTCCCCTTCCCAGCTATCCCTGTAAAGCGCAAAATAACCCCCCCGAGTTATTAAATAATAATTATTACAATGCAATCGCGATAACGATCTTCACTTGTCTCCCGCGGTGGGCCGCTATCCGAGCGAATCGGTTGGTTGGCTTTTCGTGCTAGCAGAGCCTCAATTACCGACGAAAACGCGAGCATTTCGGATTTGACCGTAATTACCCATGATGGTGGTTATTAGGTATAGAAATTTAGAATCGGTTTCACTGGTGCCTGCTGTACATCACTCATGTCGGCTAACTGATGAGCCGCTTTAAAAAACTACGGGTAAAGGTCGTTTAATTTTTTTAATGTGTTGTTTTTGGTACGCTGCAAGAAGGTAAGATGGCGGGCCTAAAAACTGGGGTTGTTCGGAATCTTGTGGATTTAATTTTCGAGCTACAGCTAACTACCATTTCTTAGGGGATGATGATATTAGAAACAAAACACAGTCTGCAGCTAAACTTAAGTAAATAAATTATTAAATATTAAATCAACTCCCAAATCGTATTAAAACTATTGTTTCAATATACAGGGTGTTTATTAAATACTTGTACAAACTTTAAAGGGTGACTAATTTTAAGATAAAAAGTTGGGTCCGAAACGGCTGGAGATACAGGGCGTCAAAAAAAAATTTATTTGGTATTTTGATTATATTTTTGTTCAATTTGACAAAACTCGGGAAACTGGGAGTATTGATGATGAAAAACTCAAATATTTGCTTAGTTTTTTGTTTAATGTTAGAGGGTGCGACATACATTGTTGTACCTAAACTATTTTGTGCTGCATTGTATGTCATTTTTGACTAAACATACCTATTCTCCATTCAATTTTACGTATAAAAGGTACTTTTAGTATCTGTCGCTGAAAGTAGCCGTTTTGTAAAACAATGGGTTTAAAGATAAACCTGCGTTGGAATTTTGTAAGTTGAATTATTAAGAGTTTTGAAAAATAAACGAAAACGAGTCATGTGCTATGTTACACTATCACATTACAAATTACTATCACCAAATTAGTGAAAATTAGAAAAAAATTAGAACAAAAATATAATCAAACTTTTTTTTGGGATGCTAAGAACCAAGCCATTGCGGGCCCACCTTGAGTTATTGTTTTGTAAGTTTTAAAGGGAAAATATATCATAACTAAAAATGTATTGCTCTTATTTAAACAAAAGAAAAAGCGTGTTAAATTTGTATCAACAGTTTTTCAAAATAAAATTTGTTTAAAAGTATTTTTTTATGATAGTGAAATAAATTTTATTTCCTTTTTTGTTTACATTGTTAGCATTTGCTAACAGCGAATACTCACATTTGCGTATACGGAACATCTCTACTTAAAATTACACAATTATTTTTACAATTTAAGTGTTTACTTTTTAATTTTTTCATTGAAAATGTAAACAAATTGGAAAAAAGTAGTTTCAAACGATTATCAATTTTTGAACTCTTGTACTGTCGCCCGTTTTGACCTAACAATGAATAAATACTCAAGTGAAAAAAAAAATGATTTATGCTGCAAATAGCAATTTATTTAATTTGAGAACTAGATTAGTCAAATGCCATTTATATTTTTACGAAGCGAAGTATGTTTTGATATACTAGTTTTTCTACCCTTCCATGTTTTTGTTAGAAATGATATAAAAGCAGTTTACGCCAGTGTAAATGTCGTTAAGATTATCTTGAATCTTCGTTATTTTCAGGTGAGCAGAAATACAAACTGTTACATATTCGCTTCTCACTACAGGGATCTCGGAAACGGTAAGAGATATGAAATAACTTAAATGGGGGCAGAGTTGCGTAATCAGGGGAACAACATTATGCCTCTAAAAAATCAAGGCTAACATGATTAATTTTCGAAATATTTAAATAAAATCGAAATTTTGGATATCCGTTTTTGTTTCATTTCAGCCAATTTTGACAAATGTTGAAAATGAAGATAAACGTAATATGATCGCAATTTATTATACTTGTAACGGCAACTGTCAAAGAGCTTGTCAGATGCATTTGTATGAATATCCTAAAAAAAATTTAGATTGAATTTTGAGCACTCGAGAAACTTTAATAACGTTTTATTGTAACGTGTGATGGTAATAGTTTAAATAACTAGGTGGATTTCACAGGGTCTAATGACACTTACAGTATACAATAATTCAAAAATCATAGAAACTTAAACAAAAAAATAGATAAATTTGGAACAAATACATTGAAAATGAAATTTTCAAGACAAAACGTCTGAATNTAGTTAATTGGACTAAATACGGAACATCTCTACTTAAAATTACACAATTATTGTTACAATTTAAGTGTTTACTTTTTAATTTTTTCATTGAAAATGTAAACAAATTGGAAAAAAGTAGTTTCAAACGATTATCAATTTTTGAACTCTTGTACTGTCGCCCGTTTTGACCTAACAATGAATAAATATTCAAGTGAAAAAAAATGATTTATGCTGTAAATAGCAATTTATTTAAGTTTTGAGAACTATATTAGTCAAATGCCATTTATGTTTTTATGAAGCGAAGTATGTTTTGATATATTAGTTTTTCTACCCTTCCATGTATTTTTGTTAGAAATGATTTAAAAGCAGTTTACGCAAGTGTAAATGTCGTTAAGATTATCTTGAATCTTGAAGGTCCCGTTATTTTCAGGTGAGCAGAAATACAAACTGTTACAAATTCGCTTCTCACTAGAGGTATCTCGGAAACGGTAAGAGATATGAAGTAGCTTAAATGGGGGCAAAGTTGCGTAATCAGGGGACCAACATTATGCCTCCAAAAAACCAAGGCTAACACGATTAATTTTCGAAATATTTAAATTAAATCGAAATTTTGGATATCCGTTTTTGTTTAATTTCAGCCAATTTTGACAAATGTTGAAAATGAAGATAAACGTAATATGATCGCAGTTTATTATACTTGTAACGGAAACTGTCAAAGAGCTTGTCAGATGCATTTGTATGAATATCCTAAAAAAAAATAGATTGAATTTTGAGCACTCGAGAAACTTTAATAATGTTTTATTGTAACGTGTGATGGTAATAGTTTAAATAACTAGGTGGATTTCACAGGGTCTAATGACACTTACAGTATACAATAATTCAAAAATCGTAGAAACTTAAACAAAAAAATAGATAAATTTGGAACAAATACATTGAAAATGAAATTTTCAAGACAAAACGTCTGAATCTGGTTCGGGTTGAGGCAATACAGTATTGGGGGGGGGGGGTTACGAAAGCTTGCAAAAAATGTAATAAAATTTCTAAGGTCGTATTTTAAAAAAATAAGTTGATGATGGTCCTAGAGAGACGAAACGTTACACATAAAAATTGATTACGCCATTCTATAAACGCCAAAAGTTGCCGTGAGAATGTGTTCTTCTTTTTTCAATAGCACCTCAAACAAGGCTGAAAAGAAACTAAAACGAATTTCCAAAATTTAGATCTTTTTTCAAATATTTAGAAAACTAATCATGTTAGCCTTGATTTTTTGGAGGCGTAATGTTGGTCCCCTGATTACGCAATTTCGCCCTTTTTTAAGCTAGTTCGTATCTCTTACCGTTTCCGAGATCCCTGTAGTGAGAAGCGAATTTGTAACAGTGTGTCGTTTTATTCTACTGTCAAACTTTGCACAAACGTAGTTTTAAATTTGACTCGAAATTCACGTTCTTCAAAAGCTATAATTTCCTCAAAAACAATTACTTTTCCATGCTACAGGGTCAAAAGTTATATTTACCAGAGTGAAAAATATCTTTATTTTTTCATAGAAGCCTTGAAAAAGTTAATTCAATATAACTTATTTTTTGTGAGTCAATATACACTAAAATCGATACTGGTGATTCAACTGGTTTAGACGATATTTAAAATATATGTCTTCGTAAAGAGTTAGAATTAATCAAAGAACACCCTGTAGAAGTTTGGTAGCCAAATTGAGGAACACTTTGTATACAAATTGTTTCAAACAAGAAAACTGGAACAACAATATAGTCCAGTTTTCAATTTCTGATGTATTAATAAATAGTACTTAAGAATTCTCTGCGTTCCAAATGAAATAGAAAGCTTGCAATCCTGCAATCAACTAACGCGTATATTAGATACGTGTTTACCATTTTAACTTTGCGATTGGGATGTCACAGAATCATTTTTATTTAATAAAAATAAAGAAACACCAAGGATAAGTGTGTAAATAATATTAAATATGTACATCTACCCACATTGCTTAAAGTTACGGCAGGTATTTTCAAGGAGGACATAGAAACGAAGATGCGATAAAGAAGAAGTACATACTTTCTATCTTTCTAAGTGTTATAATAAGATATTTATTACCTCAGTCTAATCTAGATAGTCTTTTTTTGAAAGGACACTCATGCCAAAATATTTAATGAGAATACGATGGAATCTATTTTACTATTTATTTCTATCTTAAATTGGCGAATTCAGATTATTTAGCAATCGATCCTAGCAATCTGTAGTAGTTATCAAAAAATGTGAAATAAATTTGAATGGTGCAGCAAAATGATGAACAGATAAGTCATTTGAAAACGATATCATCTAAAAATATGTATTGTGCGGTGATGTTTTCAAGTAAAAGGTCTGAACATTTACAGTCTCGACTAGATATTTAAAAAAGCTTTCATTCACTTGAAATTTCTTTCTTTCTTATTTCTTTGTTTAATTTGTATTATCATGTGTAACATATTTGTCAGAGAAATGGCTAGAAATTATATAGGACCATTTAAATGATTACTATATTAGTATATAATTATTATATTAACATTATACATATAATTATTATATAATATTAATGATTATTTTATTTTTCAGAGAGAGGACAATTTTGCAGGAACTTAGGAAGCAGCACTTTAAACTAATGATAGAAATCACCATATTGTTGAATTAGAGAATAAGAAGTTGTTACTGTTATTTTGTTAGAATTTTACATATAAATAATATAATAAATATATATCAATAAAAGGTGATTTTCATTTAATACAACTTTATATCCCACCAATTACAAGAGTTAAAGAAGCTAAATATAATTATTATAAACAATGTTTATTCTATTTAGTACTTTTTTTGTAAATATATCTCACTTTCTTCTACCTTAAATTATAAACTGACAATTAATGTATTCTAAGGAGCAATTTTCGAAAATCTAAACCGACTTTTCATGTCGATTTTATTTTTGGAAGGTACAGTAGTTGTTTATTGAGATATCATTGTTTTTTATATTCATATGATTCCTTGTACATTATTGTGTCTTAAACTTAAGATGCATCTATTCCCTTAATTTCCAGAATTTTTTCACAGAATACTACGACTAATTGTAAGAAACTAAATACAATCTTTCACTATTTTTTTGTACAAAAACAATAATACTCTATCTTCATATTCCCCACCATGACGGTATATTCAAAATCTCAAAGCTTCAGATAATATTTGAAGAGTAAATAAATCTAAGTGAGGATATTCGATTGGCAAAAATATTTTCTGCAAATAGAATAATTTTATTTTAATTTACCACACTGGTACGACGAAAACTTTTTTGGAACCGCTGATAGCTCTGCCTCAGTGAACAAGTATTGTTACAAGTAGAACTGATAGTTACCTAAAATTTAAGTAGCTTTACTACAAAAAAGGAACAAAGAAGCGAATGGAACGTTATTTACGGACACAACAATTATGTGGTATGTAACTAGGGGATGATTCCATTGGTTCTCAATAAGTTTGAATAGTTTTTTATTATTAATTTTAAGTTCTTGTTTGTTAAATCAGTTTATGTATCATCTTCTGACTTTTCTTTTGGCTTGTAAAGTGTCAAAGATCGAATCACTCTTTTAAATCAGAAACAGTTGAGTGGAATGAAACTATCACATGTAAACAACAATTTATTAAAAAAATATATGTACAGGAACATCTGTTAACTGAATTTGATCTATATACAAAGGAATGGTGCGATGTAAGGTGATTATTGTCGTGACAGAAGGTTTCTCGAAGAGCTTGGCGTTATAGGAGCAATTTACCACCATCCGCCACCACCTCCTCCACCTCCCCCTCCTGAAAACAGAAAAAAGCTTTAAAATGAGCCATTTATATAAAACAATTTCTCCTGAAAAGTCTGAAGCTTTTCACGAGTTATAGATTTTGGTTCTATTGAGAATCAAGCAGACCATATGCGTACTACTATTTCTTTTTATACCCAAAATAAATAAAAATAAATAAAAAATTATTATGTGATAAGTAATGACAGTAATTTGATTTTTCTTCGTCACAATTCTCTAGGCTGTGCAAAAATTTTGATTTAAAAAAGAGTATTTTGTTATGTTTCAAAAATTATTCATCAAAATCATTTTTCACATATTGTTTTGCAGAAGACATTTTACTCTTACTCCTCTGACAATGCGCTACAGTTACATCATTAATATGAACTATCAGTGTAATGTTTTCTGTATGATGTTAGATTTCCTGATTTACTTCAATAGTATTTGAGAACGTCTATGGAGAAGTTACTACAAGAAATCACCAAATTGCTCATCTAGTGAGCTTATTAATTTGACGGGTATTATTTATGACAGATACACTGAAGTCTCCTCCGAACTAGTACATATTTAAACCAATACAGTTGACTTACCGGATTGCCAGCCGCTACCGCCGCTGCTTCCTCCGGATTGCCAGCCACCGCCGCCGCTGCTTCCTCCGGATTGCCAGCCACCGCCGCCGCCGCCTCCGTGGCCGCCGCCGCCACCACCTCCGCCTCCGCCATTACTGGGAATAATAATCTTAATGATCTTGATGGTGCTTCCTCCCCCACCGCCGCCGCCGCCGCCTCCACCGCCGCCTCCTTGCCAGCCGCCCCCACCGCCGCCGCCGCTCTGCCAGCCGCTGCTGCTGCCGCCGCCGCCGCCGGACCAACCACCTCCACCACCGCCGCCGGACCAGCCGCCTCCACCGCCGCCGCTGCTAAGGATGCCAGCTGAAAGTAAAATGTTCCACGGATTAGTAAAGGTAAAGTTAGATTTTTTCAGTATATTTCAGTTGATTCAGTTTCATGAGTTTCTGAAATATGGTCCTTTGTTTGGAATTTCAAGAATGCTTTGGTTGAGTAAACAATTATTAGACTTTCTATTCTACAGGAGTTTTTTTTCGATGTTTAGTGTAGGGATCTGGGAAAGTAGCAGAGACACAGAAAAAACTTAAATAAGGAAACATGTGCAGTTTTATGATCCTTATTAAATGTTACTTTTTGAAAAATCATCATGGCTGACTAGATATTTGGAAAAATCGGAATTCGGTCAATTCTTTCAGATGCCTGTAGCTCCATTGCTATTTATTTTACAAAAAAAATTACAAAGTTTCAGGTTTTTGCAGTGTTAATAAGATAGTGTGATCAAATTGTTCGTATACACTTTCGTTTTCAAGTCATAACATATACTTCAAGTTTTTTAAATGTAAACCATAGTTAGCAATGAGCTAGAAAAGAACGTCTTTCTTTATGCTTTCCAACGATATAATATTTGGCATTGTTATTTTGAAAAATGGGAGAACTGCAGCCGTTTTTAACTTTTCAATTGCTCATTGACATTGACATTGTAGAAAAACAGGAATTTTAATTTTTCTTTGTTTGGGAATATCGAAAATAATGTTAAATTAACTGAAACTGCAATAAATAGAATTAAAACACAAAAATGGATTAACAAATCACATTAATCTGACATATTGGTCAACATTTTTGACATGACGTTTCGAAAAATTTATTTTTTTCTAAAAATTTCGTGTTATTAATTAATTACTTAATTACTTAATTAATTAATTAATTAATTAAAGTAAAACACAAGACTTTGAAATGTAATCAGGATTACATCAATCATTTGTTTTATAAACAACCTTCTAGATTTTTTAAATCATGGCCTGCTTCAATTTCTTCAAGAAATCATCTTTTATATTAAAAATTTGGCTGTATAACCATCGTCACCATAACTTAAAGCCTTAATTTTTTGAGCTTTGCTCTATTCCTCACTAAGCGTTTCGACATGCGCCAATAACAAAAATTTACAATTTTAAAAAATGTGAACTTCAAAACCCAAACATTTTAGAAAAAAATAGGTAGGAGTTGTTGCATTTGATAAAATAAATGTGTCATTAAATTTTTAGAGTATCTTGTATACAAAAAAAATTGAATAGTGTTTCTCAAAAAAAAAAATGAGGGAGGATGGTCCTGGTTTGTAATGGGCTACACTGTAGGTATATGTATATGTACCATAACCATGTATTTTTTTCCACGAAGCACTAAACAGGGTCATTCAAAATTCAGTTTATAAAGTTAAAACATAGGTACATACCTTGGGCTACGCCTGCGGCTACAGTCACAACCAAAAGGCAGACGAACACCTGCAAACAAAATAAATTATATTAAAAAAAAAACGAAATTAGAACACAACGACATAATGTTTCGAATTCATGTACACATCACTAGATCACTTGCTAACAAAACAATTATTTTAATTTAGGGAACCCTGATCCCTTAGTTACCTTCATGTTAATCCAAGAAAAGGTGCACTGATCCCACAGTAAGAAAGATGGGCTTATATAGTAAAATTCGTGGTTCCCACCTTTCTAATCTTTCCCTATACAGACACCCCTCCGATTTTACTAATCAAATTATTATCATTACTGTGCAATTTACAATAACAATTTTCACTTGCTCGAGTCTTGCGCTAATGGAGCGAAGATTCCTCTTCCGATTCAGCCGATAGCTTGGCAGCGGTAAGATGCAGAGGTCTTGCCAATATCGTTTCTGTCGTGCGTAATCATTTCCGCAGGAGTTTGTTCGAAGTGTTTATAATTCAGTGGCGAATATATTTCAGTTTCAGGCAGTAGGTACTGAATTAGTTCCTCAGTTTTTCGGTACATAATTTTTCCTATGCATATACAGGATGTTATAAAATTTCGGGACTACCGCGTTAAATTGTATGATGTTATATTAAGTTTTTGAAGGTATAGATAGCGCTGTGGCGTTTGAAATTTAACAGCAAAATTAGGTTAGGTAAAAATCAATTAAACGATAACAAAAGTGTAGAGAAAATTTGCTTAAAAAGTTAGGTCAAGATGTCATTTATATAACCAAAAATAAAAGTTTTTCTATTTATTTTGTATACCTATTTATAAAAGTGTAAGTACAAAATTATATTCTATTTTAAGCTTATTCAAACAAATTCTAAACATTTTTTTAAAATTCTCATCAAATAATGTTCTTCAGTACCAGAAATTTAGGAATACGAACCTATGGGATACATGCCCTTGCATGAATTATACCACAACACATACCTAGTAATCAGCTAGAATAAATAATTATTTAAGATAAAAACAAAATGATATGTCTAAATATAATAAGTAATACAAAAACACATATAGCTGATATATTGAGATTGTTAAATAATGCAGTCATTCAGATAAATATCTTGTATTCTTACTGTTCTATTATCAGCCTTGACAAAGATTAGTCACGTAAAAAACAGCTACTACAAAGTTATATTTTTGTTTCCAAAGTTTACTTGATATTTTATATATAAGCTGATTCAAAATTCAGTATAAAGAATTTGGGGGTGTATTTTTGGAATCAAAATAAGACTTTGCTTGCCCTATAAACAAATGCTTAGTTTTCGATGTACATTTTTTAAGAATAATTTCCAAATAGACTTAAATGTTGGCATAAAACTTGAAGTGCGGGGTTTTTTTAGGATGTTAAATTTAAATATGTAATTGCTTTTGATGCTGCTTGTAGAGGGTGCCACCTATAAGGGTACGCTTGAACTAAATTGGCTCGAACTTTTTTGCTACCCTGTACATTGACGTTTCGTATTAGTATGTTTATTCCCCTGTCAATTTTAAGCAAAATAGGTATACTTGATCGAAATCTCTCAGAACAACCATTTCCGAGATATTGGCTGAATAAGAGTTAAATGCACCATATTTTCGATCAAATTAAAGTTGAATAAATTTGGGCATTTTTTATTTTATTTTTTTTTGTAATAATCTGTTTCCGCCTTAATCGTTCCTAAAAGTCTTAAATTTCAACAAGTTTGACATACAACGTCTAAGAATAGTCGTCAAACTAAGCAGTCATAGTCATAGCCTACTATGTTTTTTTCTCTATGAATGTTGATAATGACAATATTACCGTTTAGTCAGCACCGATTTTCTCAAAAAGTTTAGTTGTATCAAAAAATGTAAAGTAATGCAAAAATATAAAAATGTAAAGAGCTAAAATTCAAGATCAATGCATTACCTACTGATTAGATGGTGAAAACAAATTTTAAAATTTTTTACTATACCTAAATAGTCAACAAAATTTGGAGATATGGTGTGCATTTATCTTTTCATTAGCCAATATCGCGGAAACAGTTGGTCTAAGGCATTTTAACCTAGCATACGTTTATAGAAAAAAATAATCTTATTTTTACCTCAGAAATACGCTCTAAAATTCTTTTTACTGAATTTTGAATCAACCTGTATATTATTTTACAGGATATTTTTTTGAACGATTTCATTAAGTATATAAAAATTTCAATATAACAAGTATGTATTTTNTTTTAGGATGTTAAATTTAAATATGTAATTGCTTTTGATGCTGCTTGTAGAGGGTGCCACCTATAAGGGTACGCTTGAACTAAATTGGCTCGAACTTTTTTGCTACCCTGTACATTGACGTTTCGTATTAGTACGTTTATTCCCCTGTCAATTTTAAGCAAAATAGGTATACTTGATCGAAATCTCTCAGAACAACCATTTCCGAGATATTGGCTGAATAAGAGTTAAGTGCACCATATTTTCGATCAAATTAAGGTTCAATAAATTTGGGAATTTTTTTTTTGTAATAATCTGTTTTCTGCCTTAATCGTTCCTAAAAGTCTTAAATTTCAACAAGTTTGACAGAAAACGTCTAAGAATAGTCGTCAAACTAAGCAGTCATAGTCATAGCATACTTTTTTCTCTATGAATTTTGATAATGACAATATTACCGTTTAGTCAGCACCGATTTTCTCAAAAAGTTTAGTTATATCAAAAAAATGTAAAGTAATCTAAAAATATAAAAATGTGAAGAGCTAAAATTCAAGATCATTTCATTACTGATTAGATGGAGAAAATAAATTTTAAATTTTTTTAGTATAGGTACCTAAATAGTCAACAAAATTTGGAGATATGGTGTGCATTTAACTTTTCATCAGCCAATATCGCGGAAACAGTTGGTCTGAGGCATTTTATCCAAGCATACGTTTTTTGCTTAAAACTGATAGGGGAATAAATGCACTAATACGAAATGCATGTAAATGTACAGGGTAACAAAAAAAAGTTAGGGCCAATTTAATTCAAGCGTATTCTTAAAGGTGGTGACCTCTACAAGCAGCGTGAAATGCAATGACATATTTCAATTTGGCATATTAAAAAACCCGCGTATCCCAATTTTTATGCCAACATTTAAATCTGTTTGGAAATTATTCCTAAAAAATCGAAAAAAATAAAAAACTGTAACACTCTCTATATTGAAAACTAAGCATTTGTGGACCCACGTTTATAGAAAAAAAAGTCATATTTTTACCTCAGAAATATGCTCCAAAATCCTTTTTACTGAATTTTGAATCAACCTATATATTTTTTACAGGATATTTTTCTGAACGATTTCATTAAGTATATAAAAATTTCAATATAACAAGTATGTATTTTTGTGTTAATTATATTTAGTTATAGATTTCTGGTATTGAAGCATTTTGATATTTTTTTAACAAATTTTGAATTGAATTTCTTTGAATTAACTTTACAATACAGTAAAAAATGCGAAAACTTTACATATTATTCTTACAAAATTCTTAAATTTGCGTTGAAAAGTTATATAAGAATGAAAGAAAGTTACTGTAGGTAGAAAAAAATATACGCAACATTTAAAACAATATTTCGTAAAGAAAGCCATTTTTGTTTTGTAGAGAATAGTGTGAAGAAGTCACAAATTTATTCAAATTCTGTTTGGCTGGAAATACGTATTTGTTTTCAGTCCAATTATTTTCCAGTTTTTCATAATGTTTTACTACATTATTCAATTTTTGCAAAGATCTGCACCGTTTTCTATTCAAACTTAATAAGATTTTGATAAAAAAGATTTGAAAAAGTTTTAAGGATAGGACATGAAACGATAAGTAAACTTCACAAATCTTTTACCGTTAGAGACCACAGATGCTTTCACTTTTCCATACAGCTTTTAATTTTCTAAGAAGCATGTTTGCCCGCATTTGAAGATGAAACAACAAGCGTTAATAAGTGCCGTATAACGCTTTGTCCCAATTATATTATACCTAAAGTATTTACACGTCTATTTACTGTACGTGAAAGTATTAGCCGGCATCTTCAAGATGTTAATTGGTCCTTTCTGATAGTAAAATTTGTAGGTACACTAATTGCCAACGTAACGAAATTTTAATTTAATTTTGTGGGAGAATTATAAACCTTTTTGCTTTGCTTTAAGTGTAGTAAACTAATACAAATAAATTATAAAAAGGTTCTAAATTCCTATCAATAAAGTTGATTGAATGTACCATTCCTGTTTTATATCCTGGAAAAAATTTGTACACTGGTACAGTGAATAGATATTGTTTCTAACTTGCTTACATGTTCTAAAATGTAGACTGCTATAAATCCACTGAAAATTACGCATAAAAATGCCCCCCTTAAAATCAACCACCTTCTACTTAATATACAAGGTGTCCTGAAACAAATGGGCCATACTTCAAGGATGAAAATAAACCGATTTAGGTCAAATTATCTTATACAATATGTAACTAAGTATTAAACGGATTTAATCGTGAATGTTAAAGAATAGAAACTGTTTTTTTTTTTGTGAAAGTCAGTTGCGCTTTTCCCAAAACGTTGCGTTTTCAGAGATTCCAATAAAACATATTTTGTAAAGAACTTAACTTCAAAAATGGTTGTCAAAACTAACAACACAAACGTATTTAGCATCCTTAAAAACTTATTTATGTCAAATTTCACTGCATTCCTTTGTTTTTGTCGGAAAAAAATTGACTTAATAAAATCATTATTGACAATTTCAAAAACAAAAGAGGCTAGGTTCTTAGTTCACAGTTCTTAGTTCACATTGTCTTATACGAATTTCATCCAAGACCCATTAATTAATAGGCATACTTTCTGCATTTCAATTAATGTTTTTCCAAATAACCTGTTTAAAGGGTGAAATAAATATAACTCAATTATCAATATTAATTGATAATATAATAAGAAAAACAACACTTTTTTAGTGTTACATCTAAAGAATGTAGACACAGGAAGATTGATGCTGTACTTCAGAAGTCAATATAATTAATATTTGACACTAGTGCTGTTTACCTGAATGAAGTTAAGATAGTATTATGCAATAATAAATAATAATCTGTTGAGCTATACAAAAATAACCAAGGTTGACTTCAGACTTGGTATGAGGTCAAGAGGGACTAAAGTAGCCAAGAACCTTTATAATTTGTTGGTTCAAT